CGTTTTAATCGATGTAAATCCTGTTGAAGGATATGCTCGTCAGAGGTAGATCGAATAACACGGTACTTGAGAATGTCATCGGCAAACATAACACAGCTAGATGAGACGGAGGAGTTGGACACATTGTTTATAAATAAATTGAAAAGAAGCGGCCCATAACACTACCTTGAGGCACACCTGATGTAACATCAGCCCATGGAGAGACGGCGCCCTGAAAGAGAATCCGCTGCCTCCGACCAGTCAGAAAGGACTTAACCCAATGCCACAATAGACCCTGTACATTGTATTCGGTTGCAAGCTTTTCCAACAATGTGTGGTGTGGCATCGTGTCAAATGCTTTTGACATGTCTTTGAGGTAGGTGTTCATCGTCACAGACGTTGTATGCTCTGCGGACGAGGGCTCAGTTGACAGAGGACTTGATTCTTGGGTGGTGGAAAGAGTTGCTGTGCAGGTATCTGTCGGTGTGGGTAGGCTTTGCGGTAGACACTACGAGCAAGACTTCCGTCCGGCTTTCCGGACACCTCAACGTCAAGAAATGCGATTTTGCCATCTCTTTCTTGTTCCATGGTGAACTGGATGCTGCTGTGAAGCTTGTTGAAGTGTTCCAAGAAGAGCTGGAGGGTTGTCTTGCCCGTGTTGCCAGATGACAAAGGTGTCGTCCACGTACCGGAGCCAAACCTTGGGTTGGTGATCTGCTGTTGCGATGGCGGTCTGTTCAAATTCTTCCATGAACAAGTCAGCCAGAACCGGGGATATAGGAGATCCCATGGCGGTTCCAGCCGACTGTTCGAAGAATTTGTCCCGCCACCTGAAGCTGGATGAGTTGATGAGCTGGATGAGATGAGATGTTGGGCTTAGCTGGCTTGTGCTTGCGGAGGGCTTCGTTGATCTGCAGGCAGATCTCATTGGCCGCAGATTTGTCGCGAGAGGTAATGTGGTCAGGGTAGGTTCTATGCTTTGGATGATCTCTTCGACACAGGATGACTTAGGGACGAGAGCAAAGTTCATACCCAGTGACAGGACCTTTGTCTCTCTGCGGCAGAGAGAGTACGCTGGCTCGGGTTGACTACGTTTGTTTGGTGAACGACTCTTGGGAACGGAGTTGATGGAGATGCACCGAAACATCTCATCGGGTTGGGGGACTGGGGACGTAGGGATATAGAAGATCCCATGTGTAGGGTTTGGGGGCAGTAGGCGTGGGGATATAGGAGATCCCATTACCTGGGTACGGCGCTTGGTGATGCGCGCGAATTTCTTGATCTGACGGGCTGCGGGATATTTCGAAGTCGTGGTCGTGGTTTACTGGAAGAACAGGGTAAGTTGCTGAATCTTTTCAAAGTCTGCATGGGAGACACTAGAACTAAGCTGGTCAAGGGTGTGGTGATCTTCTATCCTAGGATGCAAGGGTCGACCTGGTGGAACCGATGCCTGCAAGGGGGTAGGGTAGGAGTGGAGCCGACTGCTGCTAAGTGGCGGGAGAGCGTAGCAGACTCGCTCTGTGCAGAATGGAGCGTGGACTTCTTGCTGCGAATAGGGTCGTGGAGTCGGAGGCCGGGAGGGATGACGTTGGAATCTCTGCATCTTTTCAGAAAGGCCAAGTTGTTGATGTACTTTGAGCGCTTGATGGAATGGCGCTCGTGCATCTTGACCTTTGCAGGAGTAAGCTCCCCGTAGAGCGAAGTAAGATGAGATTTGAAGGTTTGCATGGTGGAAAGATACTAAGACTTCTTCTCACACCTCACCGTACCCATCCTTATAACATCGCATCATCGTTGGAATCCCTCATTCTCCTGACGACAGGCAGAGCATACTGTTCGAAACGTTGAGTCCCCTCTGGTTCTTTTCAGAACCACACATACTCAGAAAAGAGATTTATTCACATGGTGCTGTGCTACCGCAAACTTATCTTGTCTTAGTATCTTTCCACCATGCAAACCTTCAGATCTCATCGTTTTATGCTCCATCTGTTGTATTTGTATGTTACTATGTTGCATATTGAAATAAAAAAGCAAGTATATATACATGTAATTCAAACAACTAAACAAACTTTCTTCTTATAATTTTTAAACTTCTGCTCAAAAAAATTCAGGGGAAAGTTGCCAGGAAGTGCCTCAGATTGCACCTCAGTGCAACTAGAATCCAAAATTTTCCCGAGCCCTTTTATTAAGTTGGTCCCGGAACCCACGCCAAAAGGGTTTTGCGGCTGAACCAAACTGCCCCTACGCTATGATTTCACCATGACCATTTCACCATGTTCAATACTGCTTAATATACATAAATATATATAGAAAGATAAGTCGTGTGTACATGTACTTTGCACCACATGAGGAAAAAAAAAAAGTTACATATACACTCTGTGTGTCCCCGTCCACAAGGCTCTCGAAATAAATACAAAAAAAAAATTATAAAAAATTGAAAAACTCTTTTTGGCACACAAAGCCCATAATACCAGTGGTAAAAATGCTGCATCAAATGGCTTCAGCTAGCGTTTGAATTTGGGCTAGCTCGAATGGTTTCACCCCCCCCCCCCCCACTTTCAAAATTGTTCCGCCACCCTTCATGGCCATTCACTCCCCGAACCTGTACATTTTATTTTTCGCGATTGATCTGCATAACTGAGTGAAGTGGCCTGTGTTTGGCCCAATCCATTCCACTCCCATTTTTCTCCATTTGTTTACCATTTTTTTATTTGCTATTTCTTCTCCAAACACGTCTTCGCCAAGTCCATGATGTAAATTTGGACAATTTTTTCGGCCAGGACGTAATCAAGGACGTTTTTGGTTTTGCCATTGTTGCTATACCAGGTGTAACGGTGTCTAATGTTGGCTTCTGCAACAGGATTACAATATGTTTCTATTTTCATTAAATTGTCTATCCTGGGTGATCTTGAAATTCTATTGAAATAACTATGTTGGAAACTGCAGCCAATGGTGGTGTTGAAGTCACCAACCACGACTAGGTTTTTATTTTATGTTGAATGGTATTCACCATCGCCTTGTTGAAGTAACTAGTGAAACTTGAAACAGTTAGACATTGAGATTAGCTGCCATTCCCTAGCCGTCGGCATAGTCGGGATGTTCTACAACTACACCACTCTCCTCTCCACCGTTACAAATGTTCCAGCGCCTGCTTACGTTTACGATGTTGGCCCTTACAATAAAACCTGTACTTAAAGCCATTTTCTAGATATATATCCTGAAAATATATGTTGAGAGCCCTTACCTTTCCATTTGACTTCTTGCGGATCAACTGAGGTGAGACATGTCCTGTAACATTGTGATGTCAGCACCAATTCTGATTGCTGCTTAGAATTTCCAACATTTGAACTTTAGGTTGGTTGTTTGAGCTCTGTTTGGAACTTTGTGGACTTCATTAATACAATACAGAAAAACCGCCGTCTTGCAACGTCTTTTCCGCCGTGAATTATAATCCTTTCGATGCTTGTTTTGTCAATTTATGTCTTTTTATCTGGGCTTTCAATTCCGGGTTCAGGTTTTGTAGAAAGTCAGTTTGATACTGTTATCTAGACATGTTAATGGCATATTGGGGTCGAGGATGCACAACTGTTCCCTTACGTGTTAATTAATTAATGCAATAAACGCATGCTACATGTATGTTGCAATTAAATCGCACAATGGGTGGCAAGCAAACAAAACCTGGCCAGTTACTGATTTGAATTCAAGCCTAGGTTGAATTACTCAGTCACCAAATTCTCTGAACATACGGATTAATATTAAATTCTCATTTAACTTCATTTATAATGCGGCTGGTGAAAATATTGTTTACAAATGCTTTTCCATATGTATTTATTCGTGTTCCAGGTATTTGTTCAATTTTCGTGGTGTAGCTGCAAGTTTCCGGCTAAAACATCTTTTTCTATGCGAGTCGTTAGTTTTTCATGTCGGGGATGAATGGATGGAGTTCTTCTACCTAGCACTTAAGCCATGGGTGCACTATATACCAGTGGCTCAGGATCTGAAAGAAACAAGGTAAATATGTGCTTTTTCTAATTTGGGGGATTTATATATATATTTTTGGTGTGTGGGCTTGTTTGCATGTGTGCTTTTTTAAAATCTTTTGATTTTTTGTATATTTTTATTTCGTTTTTATGCCCCGCGGCGAAGCCGAAGGGGCATACTGTTTCCGCCTTGTCCTTCCGTAGGTGAGTGAGTATGTGTGCGTGTGTGTGCGTGTACAAACACTGCCTTGTGGGGTACTGGAACAATGGGAGATACCCCACAAGGAATGCCCACCAACTTGCGGGGTACCGTTTTGGTACCTAAATGTGGCGTAAGTCGAACGTCATCGCCCTCCTAAATCTCACTGCAGGCAAAAAGTTATCGTCCCAAATCCCTATGAAATCCCCACATTTAAGATGCTGGAACGTCTCCTCAACCGTCTTGCCCCCTTCATTGAGAAAAACTGATGAAGGAACATGCAGGCAGGCTTCCGTCCCGGCTAATCTACAACTGGACAACTTCAATAAACCTCACTCAGTAAATAAGGGACGGCTTTCCACCAGAAAATCTGCCAACTCCTTCAGAAGATCCTGGATATGACGGCAGACCTGACCCTTACTCAGTTTATTGGTGTTGTATCGAAAAATAGGTAGTATTTATTTCTTTTTTTTTTAGAATTCAATGGCAAAAGAGAAGAGTACATCTGAGAAGAGTACATCTTAAACGGAACGGTCTCCCTTAACCCTAACTCCCTAGACCTTTTTGCTAGGATGTAGCCTCAATCCTGCAAAATCCTCCAATTGGCCTCATGGAAATATAGCATATAGCCTCAATCCTGAAAATTCCTCCTCTATTTCTTGAATATGGTCCATGGAGGGGTGACCACTGCCTGAATCCTGCAAAATCCTCCGGCTATGACTGTCAATAGGCTGAGGCAGAGGCAGTGATATCCTGGAGCAGTGCGGAGGATGTCAAGTATAATCAAGGGCTTAATTTATGCACGGCTGAGCATAAACAACACAAGGTCCGGCGAGGTTTAATTAGAATATCGCGAACAAAGGGCTTGATGGTGGCAGCGAGTAGGTGGGAGTGTCCAACCTTCGAAAACATCATTCTTAAGTGTCACATCCCGTGCGTTTGGGGAGGGGCACCGCCTAAAGACCCCCCAAAATTGACTTTTAATTAGAATGTCGTGCACAAGCACGATTCCAACGCGAAAAGATAGTATTCGATGAACTTATCAATGACCAATAGTTTAAGAATGAGAAATCCCGTGCATTCCTTGCTTAAGAATGGCCTAATTAGTGCTAATTATTCACCTTTTTACGATATAGAAAAGCCTGCCCAGCACATGAATGGACTGGAAATCATACCCAATCATGACGGATCTTGAATTATTAAATTACGAAGAACCGCATCGAAGGTCTGAATCAAGCACAAGATTAAGGATCTGACGAACACTTTAGCGATCCTAAGGGCCATTATCTCCCCAGATTGATGGTAGTTCTTTTCGGCATAAAAAAAATGAAACAAAATGGTCGGGAGTGATGATTTTCCCATTTAAAACTCCTATCAAATTGGATACACCAACTTTAGAAGCGCAAACTAATACTAAACGAGCATGTTTCCCACTCATCCGAAAACATAGATCCCTGCTGTCCGAATAAAGTCATGTGCATGTTTTACATATTTTTACAGTTGTCCATGGAGAGTGTTTAACTTTTCCAACCAAAGGCGCACATTTTGTACTAAAAAAGTGGGGGGGGAAAAAGAATTTCATATTATTATCAGTTCGATACATCCAAGTTCTTTAATTTTGATCAAAATAAACTTGAATGGGCCGGTTATGAATGTGTACCGGTACTTTTTTAGTGGTTGGAGGGGAACACCTATCGTGTATATTTAATGGTTTTAAATAGCTTGGTGAACTAAATAATAAATGACGCAAAAAGTACTTGTTATGGCTGATACATTAACATCAATCAGAACCGCTACAATGCACTGCGAGATACAATTTCTAACTGGTTTCCTTCTTAGTTAGGGCCTTTAAAATCAGGGAATGGAAGTGTTTCAAAGGACACCGTCTGGTGGCGAGTACCGCTAGGAAATTTAAAACTAACACAAAAAGTAATGATTACAATCAAGTTTTGATCATGGCCCACTCATGCATGATCAAAACATGAAAGTGAAAGTGAAAGTGAAAGTGAAAGTGGCCAAATTCCTCGGATTGCACCACTGTACATCTAGAATCCGGTTTTTTTTCTGAGACCCTTCAGCAGGCCTAGGACTCCACGTCGTATTGGCTTCGCAAATAAAAAGTTCCACGTTTGGATTTAAAGACCCCCCCCCCCCCCTCTGTGATCAGGGAACGGGACCGACACTGCTGACAAGGCAACAGTAGGGACGGGGGCACAGGGAGGAACCGGCATTTAATGAGGGGGCACCGAGGTCGGATCAACATCATTTCCCCTCAATTTCCAGGCCACCACAAGTGCTGCCAATTTGAAAAGCAGGGGATGGGCTGGAACTCTTTAAACGCTTCAAGACGCTCTTTTTTCGTATTAATTTATTCACATTTTATAAAGCTGTGCGGTTAAGGAAAGTCATTATAAGGGAGTAGTCGACTGTATTCCTCTCCGTTTTATCAACTCACAAAAATTCTTTTAGAAGAAACTTCCTTGGCAACCTGGGGGCACCTTGGGCCCTTCGAGAACCAAAAATTACGATTTGCAATGAGAGCCACACTGCACTGAGTGAAATTTGTTTTTGAAAATGCATGCATGCATTATTAAAAGTTTTTTCCGCGAAACCCTTAAACTTTTTTTTGTTTTTGTTGCGACCCGAGAGCTGTTTTGACTTTTTGAGCCTCGAGTCTTGCGCATCTTTTGATACCAAAAAACATACAATTCGGACCAGGGGTTGCTGCGCAACGAAACATTTCCGGCGCGTAAATCTGAATTTCCCATATACGTAGTGCGCACATTTGAATTACCATTTGTGCATATGAATAATTAATTAATCAGGTCAAGGTCACTAAAGGTCAGTGGAAAAAATGGCAACAGCAATTTTCTTGTTCTCAAGACTCATAACAATACACTATAATGGTTGACATCAATTCCCTTTTGTATTTTGTTAGAAGCGTTCAGTTGACCACCTTAGACTCTAAACCACTTTTTTTATATTTCAGTTTCATTATTTAGCCAGACTGCCAAAATGCTCTAATAAAAATCTTGTTGTTTTTCCCCATACAGAACTCTGATAGAGTTTGCAAAGTCAAATGATCAAGTTGCCAAGGATATTGCTAAAAGGTAAATGTACACTTACTTCACCCCGACCCAAAAATTCCATCTTTTGAATATAGACAGAGCTGGATAGGGTTTAATCAAAATCTCGGGAACAAATCCCCTCATTGTGTTAAAGCATCGACCCTGATCACAGAATGGCCAGTCTTAAGTTTCGCTAGATCAGACAAAGGCCCATTGGCCAAACGTGGCAAATTTTGCATTTAATCAAAATTTTGAGAACAAGAACAACACCAGTATCATTTGATAGCTTGGAACTTGTAGATTATGGAAATATAACTTGAGAGCGATTGTAGATCAGACTAATTAACTTAAGAGCGGCCCAAAAAGCGTGGAGGGTGGGCGTGGCCTTCACCCCCTCTTTTTCCTTTTCGCTGCTACTATTGCAGCACAACGGTAGAAGAGAAATTGAAAGCAGTTTGTGTTGATGCCTTGGCACTTGCGGAACATGAAAATATTAATTAAGGTTGCTTTTTAGATCAGGCGGAAAAAAAACAGAAAGGGGCGGGACCTCACCCCCCATGTATATTTTGGCTCCTGTCGTCGCAACGCATTTCTTAAATCCTGCCAAGATTCTTTGACAGTTGTTCAGATGTCTTGCGGTTATTTTAACACCAGGTTTATGAAAATGTGGCATACCTTCGTCACAAAATGTCCATTTCCAACACAGGTATACCAAATTTCAACTTTTCCCATTGAAAAGCACATGCACATGAAAGCGTGCATCGAGTGCCGACTAGACTAACAAATCAAATAGAAGCTGTGCAAATATACTTCAAATTAAAATGGGAAAATGAAACAATTTTTATTGATGCCTTGGCACATGTGGACATAAAGAATATCACTTGAAGAATATAACTTATGTATATAATCCAAAGTCAGACTAGTCAGGGTCGGCTTTAAGACAATCAAGAGATTTGTTCCCGAAATTTTCATTAAACCCTATCCAGCCAGCTCTCAGTCTAATAGTAAATACGGTACCCACTGCTGTATACATCGAACCAGCCAACCGATCTCGTTAGCTCGGTGGTCGAGTGGTAAGACCCACCCGAGTGACTTGTTTTCAAACTTTCATTGGGGAGGTAAAACTATATACTGTGTTTATACGTCGAAAAAGGGCAAAACCTAATCTGATAGACAAAACATAATTACTAATTAGTTATTGACGATCAAGTTGTGTTCACTAATTCAATGTTATATAAATATAACTGGGCTTGATTGGAGTAAGCAGTACTGAGAAATCATCTCAACGTAAAGTGGAGGGAGTTATTCAAAACCAGCCAACACTAGTTATTATTCACAATTTTCTTAAAACCAACCTTGTTACATTTGTTATAATTACACCTCGTAGCTTCATTAGAAAAATGCTTATAATAATTGGTGTGCCATGAAAGCTACCCATAATCCAAATTGTGGGATTCTTCTTTCGTGGTACTTCTGGCATTTTTGCATGTTCAAGATAGCTGCTTCCTGTAATGTGTCAGAACATCGACCTAGAATTTGTGGAGTTCATAAATATGTACTGTTCATGCTCCTTTAAAATGTTATTTAAATTATTTAAAAAGTAAAAGGTTATTTAAATTATTTGTGTTGTTTCAAATAATTTGCGTTCTTTTTTATTATTATGAAACAGAGGGAGGGACTTCATATGGAATCACCTTCAAATGGAGGATATATCTTGTTATTGGAAAAAACTGCTGAAGGAATATTCCAAGCTCATCAAGTATAAAGTGGTAAGAAACAAAGACTTGCATCAGGTACTACCATAGGAAGAGTAAGACAAGAAAAATGTAAACACTTGTCACTCAAAGGTAGAAACATAATTAAGCATCACCTGATTTGTTGAATTGTTTGATCTGCAGTTAGGAAACATGCCCATAAAGTTAAACAAGCTATTAAATGTATAAACAACGGTTGTTTCAACCGTAGACTGATAAGTGTCGAAGGTGTCTTGGCGGTATCTGCTTGACCATGGATTGAAATTGTGTCTCTAGTAAGACGTCAGTTGTGATTTGGTGGTGTTTTTTTTTCAGGGGGGAGGTGGGTTAATATTTTTGTAAATTTGCGTAGCTTGCACCAAAGGTAAGACTTTGTGCATCAAATTTCTTGTGCAGCTGCGCGCAATAAACGTACGATTGATTTCACGAAAACTTGGTGAAGCTGCCTAATGTTTTAAATAATCTAAGCATCTTGGACGAGGATAATAACAGCATTTACGACGGCTATTGTTTCGGTTTGCGGGTAACACAATGTGGTAATAACTACGCTCAGTAGATATTTAGTTTATGAAAAGAACTTGTCCTGCTCATTAATCCACTTTCGCTTAGTAGTTTTTAGTAGATCAGAACAGTCCTGCTTTAAGTTTTACAAAACATTGAGGTTGCATCCGAATTCACAGTCTTGAGCTAGGTCTAGGTCTTCGCCGTTCGAAAATACGCGGGGACCGGCTGACAATTGTAGCTCTGTTCTGACCATACCCTACTTGTGGGGTGATGTTCCTTTCATCACACATCACCCCACTATTTTAACAATAGAAAACATCACCCCATAAGAGAATCTTTAGAAAAAGGGACAATGGGAACACAATGGCCGGAGTGCCTGGAAGCACACGGCCCGAGGCGCTCGCTGGACGTCACGTTTGGCAGCCATGCATTGCATGGCCTTATGGGATACTTACCCAAGCACCGGCTCGGCGAGTCGGCTCGGCGAGTCTGCCAGGCTTGAGTAAGCACAAGAGTCGCGTGAGAGGTAAATCGAACGCTGTCGCGCTTGCACGAGTAAGTGCGGGGGAATGTTCAAACGACCCCAATACCAGGCTGAGAGCGCAGGTAGTGGTGTGTGCGTAATTGCTCGACACCCTGGAAACGAGGTTGGATTATGAGGGTTTTTGCCAAAATCATAACGATTTCCCTCACCATCAAAAAGTCATTGCCAACGAGTGAATAAGGAGAGGTAAAGGACCGTCCAATAAATTACATCAGCTCGAAATGCCGATTTTTTTTCAATCCCACTCCCCCTGGGCTGTATGCACGGCCATTAGTTAGTGTGAACCCCTTCTGCATGCGGTCCCTCAAATGTAATAAACTCTATAGGCAATTGACTGGTCGGAAGCACTTAAAAAATATCGAAATGCCGAGGGTTGAAGAGTACAGTTTTAAGCTTTTCGATGCATAAAAGGTGGTCCTTGGAGGTATTTAATGTGAGAAAGTGCATTGTTTTCATAACAATTTAGTGAAGGAAAACCGTCACTCTGCGTATGTTCACATTGGCTTGGACCCTTCCTCCCCCCCCCCCCCCTATGCATGGTGTATACCGTGTTTAATCTCCCCACACCCTTTCGTGCGTACGTACTTTATGGGCGTACTCTTTTCTTGAAGTTGTATCGCATTTGTACTAAAAACAAATGCTGATTAGCCCTTTCTTGAACTTTTGGGCAATGCAAATGTTGCAAATGATTTAATGATGCCGTTTTAAGTCCATTGACGATTCTCCCAATCGCCCCAACATAAAAGGCAAACATAAGCCTGAGGGCCATTCTTACTCACGAATGGCGCGTTACCGAGCGGCATTATCCGAATTAAACTCCACCCGTGACGTCCCCTATTGTTTCCAGGCTCCATTATTTTGGACAAATGGAACGATTTTGTTTCATACAAAGACTTGTCCTTTGTCCTATTGCGTAACTGTAAACTGTATTAGAATCAATGGAATTATACAGAATTGTACTGCGAATAAGAATATGTTCTTACGTAATCAATACAATGCTGGATTCTAGACGCGCTTGGTACAAATGCTAAACCCCACCCAGGCACCATGCATTCGTTCTTGAATAGCGTGCTTATAACACGCAGTGTTCAGTCTCAATACGTTGGAGGAAATAGTGCCGTACAGTGGAATTATAGCGTGCCAGGAAACCGTCTTTGATAGGTGCTGAAACTAGCTCCATGGATATATCGGATGATAATTTACTGGCCGCCTTAAACATTGCCTGGGACATATACAAGACCATTTCGACACTCCGAATGAATATGAAGATTGTAAACTATTGAATGTAAAGGTAAGAAGTTACCCTTTTTGTCAAGTAAAAATAACAGCTAATAAAATCCAAAATTTAAATGTTGTATGTTGAGCATGATAATGTCAGATACATTAAGTTTTATTGTTTAAAGCCCGGTTCATACTTGTCGGCATGATATTCGCACATGCTTTCGCGTGAAGTATTGAACCGGGCTTAATTTGTTATCTGATTTATTCAGAAATCGTGTTTGCACTAAGACTGTTCTAATTCGAAGCTTTCTGTGTCGTCACTTTGCAATTGTCAAAGCTACCCTGTGCCTTTTACGGCTTTGTAAGACTTAAGTGGATTTACAGGAAAACGACCTTATGCTTCCGTCTAATTGTTTGACCCCAAAAACTACTTTTCTGATTTTGTTTTCTTCTAATTCTGGCTATACAGACTGTGGATAGTGTCACGAAGAGGGTCAACACTGTAGCAGTCTCCAGTCAGACTACTTCGTATCCAACGCAACTCGAGACTATAACTACTCATCATTAGACAAAGGAAGGACGAGCTAAAACCACTAAAAATTGCAAGATTAAGATTTTGGTGCATTTTTTAAGCAAAACAGCTACAAGTCTTCCAGGCCGGGTTTACATTGCACGAACGATTTTCCTTCAACTGTTCTTGGACACCATGGAAAAGACCTACACATTTTTTCAGGATGTTGAGTTCTTGCCGATCAAGAATTTCTAGGGCTGTATGCTAGGCATTGAAACCCAGTAACAAGATTGAGATATAAATTGTACTGCGAAACTTGTCAAAACATTTGCTTTAACTGGAAACATTTATATCGTTGAAACGTTCATGCAACAGCATGTAACTATATACGAACATTCTGTGCAAGAAAATATGGTTCTTGACTTCCGCCTTAACACTGTAAGAAGATGTTTTAGGAAAAATTCCATTTGAGAAACGGCGTAGCATGCTATATAAGAAACATAAATGGTTCCTAAATCTCACGTAATCTACGAATGATGCATAAAATTCCATTTGAGAAACGGTGTAGGACTTACGAGAAAATTCTGTGCGAGAAAAAAAAATGGTTCTTGACTTGCGTATTAAGCATTGTTACGACATGTAACGTACAGTGGAATTATCAAACGGTGTAGTAAAGTTGCAACTGTGCAAAACTATAATTGTCATTTTTGGTGTTTCTTTATTTCCCGCTCCATTATTTTGTAGGAATAGAGTGATGGAGGCCTACCTTCCAAAATGATTACCTGTCTGTGAGATCGTTTGCCAGTTTTTCCGCGTTTCCGAAATAGGTAACGATGGAATTCCATTTTTACTTGGTTACTTTATTTTTGAATTCCGCGTTTCTGATTAATTATCACAGTTTCGCGGGATCGAAAAAGGCAATTCAAGCTTCCGCAGTAGCGTACAACGTTTTCAGTCTAAACAAATCTGCGCCAGATTACAGAGCCAACTTACACTACCCTAGTTCACGACGTGCCACATGTACATGTCCAAAGTCCAAGTCATACGTTGTTTTTTTTTGGGGGGGGGAATAAACTAAGACATACTGGGGTCAACATAAAATCACCTTATGTAAATGTCTTTATTATAAACGCATGTAGCGAAAAATGTTGCCTGTTTGGAGCAACATTTTCACGGTGTTATTTTTTTTACTTAAACGAATTGTTTTTGTTTTTGTTTTTTAAATACATACATTTTCAGCTACAAGGGTATATTTTGTTTACACCAGACGACGCACGATCAATTAATGTTGGCTTGTCACTGACCGGAAATCTCGATCTTATCCAATCTCAGTGAAATGTTTACATGTTATCTTTGGCTCCCAGGAGAATAAAGTGCTAATGAGTCTCCATTGGAGCATTTGCAAAAATTTCATTGTGTAGCGCCATCGTATTTCATGCATTGAGGCTAGCCCATTGCTTGCCCAGCAAATGTGAACTTAAACCGCCTCCATGTTTATTACCCTTTATGTGTTTTACCAAGATTATGTAATCGGACAGGAGCAAATACAAACTCCGTGCGTTCGATTGCTACCCCCGCGTTTCTCGTGCAAGCGCGACAGCGTTTGATTTACCTCTCACATGACTATTGGCGCTTATTCGATCCTGGCCCAAGTAACTGACTCGCCGAACCGCAACGTCCGGCGGTCGCCTCAGGACGTGTCCAAAACGGGCTTCCACGGGGCATAGAGCTACAAACCTTATGTAGCGCTATGATATTTTGCCCAGCAAACCACGGGGAAAACGAGTTGTTTGTTAATCGGCCTAATGAGTGAACGAGCGAAGAAAAATCTCTAAATTATTTGAAAGAAATATTTTGACATTTTTATTTGACATAATGATTTGCAAGCATATTTGAATATTTTTTTTTGGAGGGGGGATTGTTTTGAACTTATTCAAGTCTCCCACGTTAGGCCTAATTTAAGTCAAGTATACGGACAACCAGCAAATTTGGTGCCTGTTTTGGAATACCTTACAACTTTCCTGAGATCAGCTTCAGCTAAATATTTCGACAAAAACAACATTCTAGGATCTCGATTTCCAATTAAAAGTTGCTGCCTCATGTTTTGAATTGGGCCTGAATTTCAGCGTCAAAGACACTTGTTTCGCTTTTCAAGCTACGCGATGTAGAATTATTGCAACCGCGCGACGCCGTGTGCGTCGTGTCAACGCTTGCGGCGCGCTTTGCCGAGTAAAAAAAAAAAAAGACATACTAACGGAAATGTCCAACAGTACCCGTCTGGCGCACAGTATACAAATATTTACATGGTTTGAGGTTGGATAGTCGATAATCGCTCCCCTAGGTATTGGAAGTTTTTCGTTGCAGTATGCAGTTCACCAAAGAATCGTATTACTCAACTTTTAACTTGTTCAATTCGTTTACAATACAGTGCAGCTGTAAATACAGTAGTTTGTTTAAAACATTCTTTTGTAAAGGAGGCGTCTTTATTGTCCATAAATATTCTCTAGTTTGGCATCATTGAGCTCGAGAAAATAACGCACCCGTGCAACATTCTCTTCGTGTGTAGCTCGTTTGGGCGATGTTTGCGCGCGTGTACTACACCCGTGCGACGAATGCTTTTGTAAAGTGCATGCGTAGTAGACCGTCTTCACGAGTTACCCGTGCGACAGTCTATTACGCATGCGTTTTTACCCTGTGCGTGAATCTTCGCGCACGCGCTTGGTAAACAGCAAAATTAACATCTGGTACGTGTTGTGAATTGACCAGTGAGAGTTCGGCTACATATTAGGTTTTCCCGGCGAATTTCGGAATTTTTCTAATCAGTTTCATTATCAGCCATTCAATTTCGGGTGAGTTTGGCACATGTGGTCAAATTGGGGTTTCTTTTTCATTTTGGGTTCATTCAATTTCATTTTTAGGCAGCCAAGATTTTGCTCTGAATGTTTATTTTAATTTTCGAGCATCCTATTTCGTTTTGCTGCATTCAAGACTTAAATTGTATCAGACTTAAATTAAGTCTTTGCAACCTTTTGACGGTTGACGCATTCAAATTAGCGAACATCTGTGCGCTTATAACGTATAACCATGCTTTTCGTATCTTTTTCGTTTATGGGCAAATCGCCTTCATCGTTTGGTCATTTTAATTAGTAAGGTTTTTTTAATCGATATATTTTCCTAGTTTCCTCCGAGGTTCACCCCCCCCCCCCGCCAAACAATGTTGATGACTGTAAAATTTACAAAGTTACATATTAACTGATATGAGGGAAGCAAGGTGTAACGATATAATTAATTGAAAGGTACTAAGATAATTTCTTTTTCACTGTTGATCTTTTCTACTTGTTTAAACGTTTGAGCAAGGGGCATCTTTACGTTGACGACTTCTTGAAGTGCAAGACATCGGTATGGTTGTATCATCGGGAACACTTCCCTTGTGTTATTTCGTAAATGTTTTCTTGCGTATGTCTGACCGAACACTTACCGTATTTAAAGGGCCCATGCAAAGTTAATTTTCAATACAAACCTTGAAATATACACATATGCCTTCTCCGTTTTATGCTAATGCAACCTTAGTTTCACATTCATTAGAATACCTGTGATGGCATTCCGGGCATGATTAATGTTACATGGCTATTTAAGCACAAAAAGCTGCTAGAATTTTGGATATTTCGCTGTTATAAATTTCTTTCATTTGGTGATTCTTTGATGTGTCAGTATGCATGGCAGTAAGACAGTGAGCAACCCTTTCCCACAAATGTTTTCAATTAGCCAATTTTGGATGAATAATTTGAAAGAAAACCCCCAAAACTGAACAGTGTCTTCCTGAAATGACATGACAGTTACAGCGCGCTCATACGTAGTCCGGAAAAGCATGGAAACGTTTAAATGTTTAACCCTAAAATAAAAGGGCCGGTTGTTTTGATGATCTCTCAGCCGGGGGAAGATTCCGCCCCGGTCCCTTTAAGGTTAAAGAAATGCACTTTTGCTATAAGATTAACCCCCAAAAATGTTAAGGAATACGTACACGTATAAAGTCTTAAAAGACGTTTGACAAAATGAGAAATATGTTTGCCCATTAATGAAAACGAATGCCCGATCAACCACTTACTGCTGGTTTAGACAAAATTGAATGAACAACGCGATACTTTTAATATGAATGCATCTTTTACAGGGAGGAGTGAAGCTAAAAGGCGATAGATTGCTCGGATAGTGAAATTGAATGATTCTTTTTGATTGTCGAATGCCGATCTGCGTGTTCTTTCAATTTCAATCTAAATCGAATGAGCCAGGCGTTAAATTGAATGAAAGTAAAATCTGTCCCGAGCCAATGTGGCTCATCAGGCCGGCGTTTATCTCCGGTTTCCGTAGCATGAAACGACTGAGAATATTTCTACTCCCCCTGGATTGGGATGCTAGTCCATCGCAGGTTACTCCCCAGCTTATGCCGGCACCCATTTATACTCCTGGGTGGAGAGAGGCAAGTGGGGGGTGAAGAGCCTTGCCCAAGGACACAATATATGACCAGCGTCTGGATTCGAACCCCGGACCCTCTGATCAAGAGTCACGAACCCTAACCACTAGGCCACACGATCCCCCAGTTGAATGAAAACTTGGTGAAATTGGCCGGGAAAACCTATAGTAATTGAAAATGCCTTCTTTCGTTGATTTCTTCACAATGACAACGTGCCAGAAGGATTAATTTTACAGGGATTTTAAGTCCCCTTACTTACTTATTTTTCAACAATATGTTTTCCAACAATAATAACATAATAATAATATTTGGATAGCTGCAAATGATGGACTGTAGCTTCAAATATCACAGTGTTATTTTCATTAAGGTTTTAATAGGGTATTTGTGCCATTAAGCAACTCGGTGAATTTGAAGCTCATCAATACCGAGGTTTCACAGGACTTCTTGTTTATCTAAGGACAATTTTGTGTATAATGTATATTATCATGTTTAAATGTTCAGTAATTTTTTAGTTAAAGTATATAAGTATATTTTAAATATGTTGAATGCGTGTGTCTCAAAGAAGAAAAAAAATTGTGTATAATGATTTTTTGATGTTGATTTATAACAGTACTTTTGCAAAATTTACAAAACACTTGTAACAATAATCGCATACAATTAATGTGGACTGTTCTTTACAAGGCATTATTGTACACATAGAAGGAAATCTTAAAAACTTGCAGGTTCAAAATCCGCTCCAAGTCAGTTTTTGTCGTTGAAATTTTAATGCACCCTATATGAATTTATATTTTGAGCGCCATATTGTACGTGACTGCATCTCTTAAAGTGTCAAAATTTCGACTGGTTGTTGGTTGTAAATCTTACCAAGCGTTTGGTATTTCTGAAGTCCCTGGGACCATTGCATCAATGCATAAATAGTTTCTTATTCGTTAACAAACAAACATGGGCTGATCTTCGTTACATCTGAAACTTAATCTTTTTTTATATATCTTTTATTGTATATTTTGGATTTTTTCTTTAAGTTAATTTATTACACACAAATGAGGGAAAAAGTAACGCATGCAGAAGACATTGTTGGTTCACTAAAATACATACATCGTAACAATTTAGGCTGCTTTTTTTCAGTTTGGAACACTGTTTTGTATTTGTATTTGCATTTAATTGTATATTTTTCTATTCTTAGATTTATTTGAACCAAGTGCAGTTAGCAGATACATAATTATGATCTTAGATGATTTTGATTTTAGAATGTTATATCTTAGATAAATGAGGCCATGTCATTAAAACAATTTTCCTATATCGTGAAACGGACCAAAGTGGCATTTGCAGTTAAAATTTAAAATTCTTAAGAAAAAGAGAAAAAAAAGTCAAATGTTAAACGGGTAGTATAATAATTTAAAGGAGCTATATTTTATGTCTTTCAGTGGTATGTGGGTATCAGAAGAGTGTTATTTTGCTAAACTTGTTTATTTTGTTTGTATTCGGAGAAAATCAGATAGATAATATGAATATAATATCTACCTTGGTCCAGTGCCTTATTTGCAAATTAGTGACTCTTTGAAGATGTTGGTTCACTGCTTGAATGAGGAATTGTTAAAACGATTTCTGTAGTGCCAAGATTAAATTTGACACACACAAAACATGGTTTGAGATTTCTATGGTCATTTCCTAAAAAGTTCATTTTCCATATCGAAAAGTTTGTCCCAACTTTTTTATTTTGTTTGAATTCAGAGAAAATCAGATTAGTAAAACGGATATAATTTCTACCGCGGTCAAGTGCCTGAATTTGCAAATTACTGATTTTTTTAAGATATAAATGGTTCACTGCTCAATTGAGGAATTATTCAAACGACTTCTGTGGTACCCAGATTCAATTATGTAGCCAAAAATGTATTGGTTTGATATTTGGCAATTAAACAGTTATCTAAGTTTGTCCTACCTCTCTTATATACGGCTTTCGCTATATTTGATGACACCTTTGTAGTCTCGAGCACATCCAGAAAATGCCCCTCAAATTTCCGCAAATGCCCCTAAAATACCCATAAACTCTTAATCACACCAAATTTACCAAAATGTCATCAAATGCAACCAATTGGGGCAAATGGGTCCCATGAATGACCCCAAATACTTTCTAATAGAAATAAATGTTGCCAAATGTCCCATAGAGCACACAAAGGTTCGCAATTACCCCGAATGCTCCCAAATGTGAGCAAAGGCATCGAAATGACAATAAATCCACTCAAATACTCCTTAATCCTGTCAAATGGCAATAAATCGCCAAAGTGATCCGAAAATGCACCCAAATGCTCTGTAAAAGGCAATAAATGACCGGGGGAAACAAAAAAAAATTCACTCAAATGGCAATATTTGCCTCGTTATAAACGCCAGCCAATGTTTCCAAACTACTTTCAAATGGCAATAAATGTGCCCAAATGCAACCAACGAATCCAACTTGGTATCAAATGGCAAAAGTTTTCGCACATACACCCAAATGGCAATAGATGCCACCAAACGCTTTCAAATAACTTCCAAGTGGCAAAAAACATACGTTGCCAAATAACAAAAGTCCTTTAATACCCCCAAACAACTAACATGTCCCAAAATGCCTCAAATGCACACAAATGCACTTCAATATCCGCAAATGCACCCAAATGAACTCAAATACACAAGAATATGCAC